AAAAAATCAACCTGCTGGCAGAAATGCATTTGAATAAGATAGTATTATTTATTAGGTGAATAACCTGTGTGCAACATTTAAGTTCTGGCCTCACGATCACTGTCTTGAGTTTTAATCTCTGGTCTCTCGTTAACTATCTGTGTGGCTTTGGGCAGGTCCATTCTTTAGTTTCCCCAGATCTCAAATAAGCAGTGTTTATTAGATACCTTGAAAATTTTTTCTATTTATAACCTCTACACTTTCAACTACTCCTAGTGAATGCATTTTTTTTCTGGGACCAAAAGGATTTTTTTATGCCCATTTGGGACACTTTGTTTTCCCTTTTTTGCCCACTCATCTCACCATCAAAAAAGGGCTGTGCATGGGGTTACATGGGAGGCTGTCCCCAAGCTGACACTTTGCAGTGTAATGAACACCATGCATAGCTAAGTGCCGAAGAGTTTGGGCTTTGGGTTTTGGTCTAGTTCTGCCATTTAAAAATCTTGTTATTTATAATCTCTTTGACATCATCCACTCATAATATTGGGATAAAACTATCTACCTCATGTGAGTATCACAGGATATTAATCTGTGAAAAGTGCTTAGTACAATGCCTAGAACACAGAACATGCCTGTTATTTTATTACTGTTATTATTAAAATGCCTAGCTGGTGCCAGGCACACAGAATGTACACAGGAACCAGTCAGCCCCCTTTTTCTTTATTTCTGCTCCATCAGCTCTGGAGAATATTTCTGCCCTGTGGTTGTTAACTGGCTTGTTAACTTTACCTGTCATTTATCTTCTTTAAAATGTGTTAGTGATAATCTTATTAAAAAGCTTCTTCTTTTTTTAATGGGAGAATAGATGGACTACAGAAAGATTTAGCTGATTGTTTGTTAATTTTCAAGCCAATAAGGACTGTAATAAATGTGGCCCTCAGAAGTGGTTTATGTCCCTCTCAGGATGCCACAGGGAAAGCAATCAGGACATTGCTTATCATAATTATAAAACATTATTTTGAGTTAGAGCCTGGCTTAGAACTTCTGTGCAAGTTACATAATTTCTCAAGCCTGTTTCCTAGTCACTAAAATGACATACCCCTTCATGGGCTTATGTAGAGGTTGAAATACTACACATTGATCAGGGTTAAGTGTCAGCACTTTGCCTGCTGCACAATGTCTTTGAGGCAGGTGAAATCTCTTCCTTAATATCACATGAACTTGAGTCAGAGTTTGCTAATGTACATGATGGGACTCCCAGAAACCTGCAGGTAATAGGGTTAGGGGAGCCACAGACCACAAACCTCATATAGACATAAGCACCAGTGATTATGTGTTGACTACTTTACTATATTAATAACATCATTGGGGGAAGTTCATCCTTTTGAAAACTTTTGCCTTGATTTACGGTGTGGGTACTTGTGTTATCTTATGAAGATGCTTTTAGTTGCAAGAAGCAGAATACAAATCAAGTTAGCTTAAGAAAGAGGGAAAAATGTGGATTTATTGAAGGAATACAAGGGTGTGTCATGGAACCCAAGGACAAAAATTCACCCAGACCAGTGGAAGGACTAAAAGTGACGGGAAGACATAAGGGACACAGACAGCTATTCAGTCAGCTGTTCCTCTCAGGCTGCAGGATTTCTCCTGCCTTCAATTAGCTGCTTGTCTTCTTCCTTCTCTCTGCACATGGCTTTCCTTCTCCTCCACACACAGCAGATACTGACTGCCTCCCAGCAACCACACTGTCATTCTGTCAGTCTTAATTCCACATTCCCTGGACTGAGGTTCTGAGGGGCCCAGTTTGGGTAAGGTGTGCATCACTGGTCCAATTAACTGAAGCCAAAAAGGCAGGACCATGTTATACCAATACAGCCACCACTGTCCATCACGATGGCCATGTTTGTCCTGAGATGGGCAGGCACACCAAAAAATTTACAATTAAATTCTCTAAGATAAAATACTATGTTCACAAAAGAAACAGTGACTCATCCAAAGGAGGTCCAAAGCAAAATGGAAAGTAAAAAATATTTTCTTAAAAAAAAATCAGGGAATAAGGCCCTGGCTCAGTAGTTCAGTTGGCTAGAGTGTCATCCTGAAACACCAAGGTTATGGGTTTGTTCCCCAGTCAGGGCACATATAAGAATCAACCGACAAATGCATAAATACATGGGACAACAAATTGATGTCTCTCTTCCTTTCTCTCAAATAATTAAATTTTAAAAATATATAAATAAAATCAGTAAATTTGTTTGGATTATGCAACACACTAGCTTGAAATACTTTATGAGTTTTGACATATTCCTTAATGGATTCATACTGTTTGAGTTGATGAAGGACAACAACAAATTTAAAAACAAAAAATAACCAGAACTGCCAGAAAATTGAACTGTATGGAAGTCCAATTCATTCAGACTGGTGGAGGGGGGTGGACACAGGCAGGTGGGGTGGAGAGGATGCATGGCAAGGTAGTGGCTGGAGGACCAGGTGGTCCCACATTTGTGTGCGGATAAACCAGAAGGAACAACTGGGGAGCAAGGAAGACTGCATAACCCAGGGTTCCAGCATAAGAAAATAAAGCCTCAAAACCTCTGGCTGTAAAAAGTCTGTAGGAGTTGTGGGGGTGGGAGAAACTTTTGGCCTCATAGGAGAGTTCATTGGAGAGACCCACAGGGTGCTAGAATGTACACAAACCCACCCACCTGGGAATCGGTGCCAGAAGGGCCCAATATGCCTGTGGATAGTGGGAGAAGTGACTGAAAGCCAGCCGAGAGCTGAGCAAGATGCATTGTTCCCTCTCTTACCCCTCCCCCAGCATACACAGCCACAACAGAGTGAAGTGGGTTGCCCAGACCTGGCCAATTCCTAAGGTCCCACTCCTTACAATGTAAGAGGCATGCCAAAACAAAACGAAAAAAAAAGTCCCAAATGAAAGAACAGATCAAAGCTCCAAAAGTAGAACTGAATGATGAAGAGATAGATGCAGATTTCAAAACACTGGTAATCAGGATGCTCACAGAAATGATTGGGTATGGTCACAAAATAGAGGAAAAAGTGAAGGCTATGAATGTGAAATAAAGAAAAAAATAGGGAACCAACAATGAAGCGAAGAAAACTGAGACTCAAATCAATGATTTGGAGCAAAAGGGAGAAATAAACATTAAACTGAAACAGAATGAGGAAACAAGAATTCAAAAAAATGAGGAGAGGCTTAGGAACCTCTGCTCCGGCATCTGAATCATAGGGGTGCCAGGAGGAGAAGACGAAGAACAAGAAATTAAAAACTTATTTGAAACCATAATAAAGGAGAACTTCCCAAATCTTGCAAAGGAAATAGACTTCCAGGAAGCTCAGAGAGTCCTAAAAACATTGGACCCAAGGAAGCACACACCAAGGCACATCATAATTATATTACCCAAGATGAAAGAGGAGAGAATCTTAAAAGTGGCAAGAGAAAAGGAGACAGTTACCTACAAAGGAGTTCCCATAAGACTGTCAGTTGATTTCTCAAAAGAAACCTTGCAGGTTAGGAGGGGCTGGAAAGAAGTATTCCAAGTCATGAAAGGCAAGGACCTACATCCAAGATTACTCTATCCAGCAAAACTATTGTTTAGAATGGAAGGATAGATAAAGTGCTTCCCAGACAAGGTAAAGGTAAAGGAGTTTATCATCATCAAGCCCTTATTATATGAATTGTTAAAGGGACTTATTTAAGAAAAAGAAGATGATCGAAACTATGAAGAATAAAATGACAACAAACTCACAACTATCGACAACCGAACCTAAAAAAAAAAACAAAAGCAAAAACAAAAGCAAGCTAACCAAACAACAAGAACAGGAACAGAATGACAGAAATGGAGATCACATGGAGGACTATCAGCAACTATCGGGCAAGGGTAGAATGGGGGAAAAGGTACAGGGAATAAGAAACATAAATGGTAGGTACAAAATAGACAGGTGGTAGTTAAGAACAGTATAGGAAATGTAGAAGCCAAAAAATTTATATGTATGATCCATGGACATGAACTAAGGGACAGGTGAAGAAGGATGTATGTATGACCCATGGACATGCTGGTTGGAGAAGAGGTGAAGGACAAAGGGGAATAATGGGGAGGAAAAATGGGACAACTATAATAGCATAATCAATAAAATATATTTTAAAAATTTCTGGATGGTTACACATATACAAGCACAAATATTAAGAGTATTTACTTCATTTCCAGAACATGTGTCCAATGTAATAATAGGGTAAAACATTTAATGTGCAATTTTAAAAATATATATCTTGTATATATTGGAAAGTTCATACAAAGATGATCTGTGGGGATTCTCCTCAGATTGACAGGATAATGGTTTCAGTAGGTCAAATGACTTGAAGTATGAGTTAATCAAGGGTGACCTTTGTATTCTATGCACTATTTAAATATTTTACAAAGAATATTTTCTACTATTAAAATTATAAGTGATAAAAATTAAATCTAATTGGAAATGTATGCATCAAGTATTTTTAACTGTATCTTAATTGTTCTTAATTATAGTAGTGACATAATGTGGGCAGAAGTTTCAAAAGTGGAAACTTTCCATTTGAACTTCAGAATTATGTTTTTCTTTCTATAATTATGCATATATTATATTTATTAAAACATAACAATGAATAGAGACACTTCATTTGAAAAAATAAAATATTGATTCAAAGAAAAATATAGTAGTTTCCTCTGGGTAGGAAATCTACTTTTTATAATAAAATCTTATGTGCATGTGTAGGGATTATTTTTTCAATACATTCATTCATCTCTGCTTTTCATTCTCCTTGTAAATCAAAGAGCTTAAACATTTTTAAGTTAAAAAATCCAAGAGCTAATGCCATGTAATAAATTTGTTTATGATGAAGCCTCTTGAGTAACTCAATACAAGCCATTTATAGGCTGAGCACATCACATGTGAAATAAATAATAAATCAAATTCAAGGGTCTTCCTGCCAGCTCCAACCCTGACACCATTCTTGATATCTTGTCCCACAGATGACAGAAGGCAGGCATTGCCAAGTGCACCTCCTGGATGATAGGAGGCTGGAGCTGCTGGTTCAGGTATGTATTGCCCACATGACGAAAGCCCACCGTGGTGCCCTCTGGGAGTTTCATAGCCTAGATTCAGGCTGTTTGCTTACCTGAGCCTTAAAGCCAGTGACTGAGGATTGGCTGAGGAGGAAAAGGTAGATTTGAAGTCAGAAAACCTGGTCTGTATGGGCCTAGAGCTTGGTGACGTATGAGAGGGGACCCAAAAACACCCAAAATAAAACAGAATTATCTTCTGAAGGGTGGCCCCCTTGTAATATCCCACTAGCTGAGTATTATAAGAACCCATCTGTCATTGTTGTGAGAGGCTGCATTCAGCTTCAGTGGATTTTTTTTAGAGTCTTTTAACCCATTTACCCATTTCATGATGGGTGATTTACGAGCTCACCTGCCCACACCATGGTGAGTGTTCAGCAGTTTTTGATCAAAACAGCATGAGCCTCGTGCTTCACCTTCCCTATTCACCCAATCTTGCCCCAAGCAACTCTTTTTTTTGTTTCCTTGGATGAAAAAAGTCCTCAAAGGGAAAAACTTTTGTCAAATGGGGAAGAGGTGAAACAAAAAATGGCAGAAACACTAAAAGGCATCAAAATTGATGAGTTCAAAAACTGTTTTGAGCAATGGAAGAAATGTCTCAATAGGCGTATTGCATCAAATGGAGGATACTTCGAAGGTGACTGAAGTTTAAACATGTAAGAATAAATACACATTTTTAATAAAATCTGGGAGTTTGAGGGGGTCCTCCCTCATATATACAGAGATACTTGGGTTCCAATCTCAGCTTTGACACTCAGTAGCTGTGTGACCTGGAGCAAGTGACTTTACTTCTTTGGACCTTTTGTTGGTAAATTGGGGAACATAATGCTTCCCTGAAAAGGTTATTGTGAGCTGAAAATCTGTATTCTGCCACTTTCCTGCTACATGACATTTTTCAAGTTAATTACCGAGTTTCATAAACTATAAACTGGGATTAAGATTGCCTAGCCTTCCTTGCAAAATTATGGTTAATATCAAGCTAGATTATATATGGGAATGAAATATCTGTGTACAGTATATGAGACTGTATGAGTAATGACATAGTAATTGTTGATGCTTCTCACTTTATCTACCCCATACTTTGGACCGAGAGCCTTAAAAATTGTGGAAGTCCCTGCTGACAGCCACAACTATGGCTATGGTTAGAATTCTTTCCTTTGACCAAACCTAAATTTTACTCCCTTCTGAGGCTCACTATGCATAGGTTTCAATTGGAATGAAAATAATACAGTCAACAATAGTTTCACCAGAGTAAACATTTTAGTCTACATTTTTACCTGTTTTTCTTTTTTTTCCCTTTTCTTTCTTTCTTTCACTTTCTTTCCTTTCTTTTTTTTTCCTTATTTTTCTCCAATCATGACTATTCTTTCTTCACCAACAGCAAACATTCAACCCTCAAGCCATCATAATGAATGGCTCAAAGTTTAAACAGAATCCATCTAGCATGCCCTCCTGAAAACCCCCTTTTCTTCTACAACTTCAACAAATCCAGCATCCACTTTCACTTCAGACATTCTGGCTAATTCCAAACCATGCTTCTTTGCACCAAGTACAGTGCTTCTTAAAAGCCCATAGATTAGATCCTTCTTCTAGGTGCTTAGTAAGTATTAGTTGGTCACCATCTATACAGTGGGTACAATTACTCCCTAGAAAGAAATGAAAAACTTAGGCTTTGTAATCAGATGGAACTGGGTTCAGATCCCTGCCCTCCCTAACTAACATCAAACAAGGTTCTTAACTTTTCTTGTCCTCAGCTGACTCATCCATAAAACAGAAATAAGGACCTATACCTCAAAGACTCATTGTAAGAATATGAGATAATAGATATAAAAGAGTTCTGCATAATGAATGATTATTATTATTGTTGTTATTGTTAGTTCCACCTGTGATGACCACCTCCCTCCACAGCCTTAAGTCTTAATTCTTTTCAACTACCCCCCACCAAGTAAAATTAATCTTACAGTCCAGAAAGTGAGGTGTTTAACATTCTTTGTCTTGGTCACTAGCACCATACTACATATAAAAGAGTTTTTTTCCAAAATACCAACACATTAGTAAGCACAGTTTTACCTTAGAAGAAAGAAGTAAGGTACTGGACTGAATTTCAAATATATGAAAATTATGATCTCATTGACGTTTCTATTCCCATTTCCCTTCCTTTCCAATCGGTTAGAGAATGGTCTTTAGTAGATTTATTGTTGCAGCATGGGGGGCAGGTATTTAAAAACAAACAAAAGTTATTTCAAATGATTTGGGGCAGAGGAAGGTGGTAACAATAAGAGAGAGAGGCAACCAAATTATTTCTAATCAGATTTTCACACTGTCAGCCCAAACTTTTATCAAGAGAGTTGCTGGACCTCGTGGCTTCACATTTCAACCTGAAAGAAAAAGAGTACTTTGGAATCACCTTTACAGATGACACGTAAGTTTTTTTCTAGTCATTTTTATTTCTTTACCTTTTGTCTGAACTACTGACTCATTGTCATTCACAATTAGCAAAAAAGGAGGAAGATGCTCCAATAATTAGAGTACATTCTGCTTAAAGATTTTTTAATGCAAGATTTTTCTCCTAGGGCTATTGCAAAAAGAGAAAAAAAATATTGATCATTTTAAGAACTCAAAATATTGTCCTGTTTTAGAAATTTGGATGCAATGTGCTTTATTGAATTCATTTATCAGTGAGAGAAATACGAGATAGTCATTCATTCAGATCCTAAAACTGAATAATGTTTTGGTTTTGGTGACAAGAAAGTTTAAAGGCAAATTTATGGCCTACCCATAAAATATATATATAGTTTAATATGGAGTGGACTTTTTAACTCCCATCTAGGTCTATTTTATGTTATCTCCTTACCATCTTTTTTCTTTTACATTCATTTTTGATAATTTGAATATTGTATATATTTCTCAACAATTTAAATCTTCTCCAAAATGAGGCAAGTATATTTGCAATAAATGTGTGATAATTTAAAACTCCATGTAAGCAAATGTGTTTGGACTTGTCAGCACTTTTTTATGTGTGTGTGTCTATCTGTTATTGGCAGCCCAATTCACCTGTATTCTAACTCACCCATATTATATTCAGACTGATACATTATCAGAGGAATTTGCCCCCTTTCTGGGGATAATTTACAAAGATCTATTCAAATTTTAAAATTTAAGAAAATGTGTCCCAGACTAACTATATTGGCCAATCACCCAGTATTCTTTTTTGACTCTCCAATTTAAGTGTTCTTTCAGTCTGCAGCTTCACCAGACATAGGATCATCTGCAGAAGGGGTTAATTAGTTTTTCACACCTGTGCCTTCTGATTCTTCCCAGGCTTGTGGGCTACAAGGATAGGACCTCCTGGAAATGCCATTGGCCTAGGACTTGGGCTGGGGAAGACCAGGCAGCTAAATTCTCAAGAGACAGGGAAAAACCTAAAAACTTTGATTCTAGACTCAGTATATATATATTTTTTTAACTTTTTTCTTTTTTATCCTTACCCTAGGACATGCTTACTGATTTTAGAGAGAGGAAAAGGGAAGGAGAGAAACCTCAATGTGAGGGAGAAACATCAATTGGTTTGCTTTTGTAGGGGCCCCAACCAGAGACCAAACCCAGAACCCAGGCTTGTGCCCTAACTCGGTATCAAACTTGTGAACTTTCTGTTTTCAGGACATCACCCAACCAACTGAGCCACACCAGTTGGAGCTGGACTCAGTATATTTTCTGAGTAGGATTCAACAAAGTAGAAAAAACTGCACTCAACATCACCTACCTTAATCTGAATCACAAAATTATCTGTTCACACAGTAACTCATTGAGACCCTGCATGATCAGTCCTCTGCTGGATGAAATAGGAAATGGAGGTTCCCACTGACCAAACGCTGTAGTGGGAAAACCAGGACTAAGTAGTTCATGTGAATCAATGATTACACACACACACACGCACACACACACACACACAGAATCTGAATGTGAATGAAATAATAGCTAATAGTATAAGACATAAAACCATAAATACTTCATGGTTAAGTTATATGTTACAATCCATGTGTGCCATAAACACTATAATTTAAAGAGATCACAGAGTAGAGGCTAAAAGCATAAATACTGGAGTAATTTGTTCACTCAAAAATATTTCTTGCATGCCTACTAAATGCCAGGCATTGTTCTAAGTCCTGGTAAGTCAGTTTTGAACCACAAAGACAAGGTTCTTGCTTTCTTGGAGCTTATATTGCAGTGGCATGGTCTAGCAAAACAAATAAATAAGTAGATACATGGGAAAATACCAGAAATGATAGTTCTTTGAAGAACATAAAACAAGAGGCCATGATTGAAAAAAGCTGGGGTACAGTTTTAGACAAGGTGAGCTAGGATGGTTTTTAAATGTACAATAAAAGACAAGAACCAGTATGGAGTTTCCTTAAAAAACTAAAAATGGAGCTTCCATTTGACCCAGCAATCCCACTTCTGGGAATATATCCTAAGATCTCAAGATACCAATCAAAAGAATATATGTACCCCTATGTTCACAACAGCGTTATTTACAATAGTCAAGATCTAGAAACAGTTCAAATGCCCATCAGTAGATGAGTGAATAAAAAAGTCATGATAACCCTGACCAGGGTGGCTCAGTTCATTGGGCATCATCCTGCAAAGCAAAAGATCTGCAGTTCGATTCCCGGTCAGGGCACATTCTTGTATTTTGGGTTTGGTCCCTGGTCAGGGCATATATGAGAGGCAACCGATCAATTTTTCTCTCTCACATCGATGTTTCTCTCCCTCTCTTTCTCCCTGCCTTTCCCTCTCTCTAAAAAAAATAAATAACCCTGACCGGTGTGGCTCAGGAAGTTGGGTGTCTTACTACAAAGCAAAGAGTCACCAGTTCAATTCCCAGCCTAGGTTGAGAGACAGCTAATTGATTTTTCTCTCACATATCAATGTTTCTATAAAATCTTTTTTTAATTGGGTACATTTACAATGGAATACTATGCATCTATAAAAAGGAATTCTTACCCTTTGCAACAGCATAGATGGACCTTGAGATTATTATGCTAAGTGAAATAAGCCAGTCAGAAGAAGATAAATACCATGATTTCACTCATATGTGGAATCTAATGAACAAAATAAACTGACAAACAAAATAAAAGAGGCATAGATACATGGAACATACTAACAAGTCTAAGAGGAGTGTAGAGTGGCCGGGGTAAGGGGGACTAGAAGAAATTAGGCAAAGACCATATAATGCACCACAAAATTGTGGTGAAGGCCAGGGCAGGGGGTGCATGGGCTAGGTGGAAGGAGCAAAAGGGGGAGAAATGAGGAACACCTGTAATAGTGTCAACAATAAAAAATAAATAAATTTTAAAAAGCAAGAACCAAACTTCTGGCCAAGATGGAGGCATTGGTAGACACACTGTGCCTCCTCACACAACCAAAAGAAGCACAACAACAATTTCAAAAAAAAAAAACAAACAACCACCAGAACTGACAGGAAATCAAACACTATGGAAATCTAACAACCAAGGAGTTAGGAAATACACATTACTCCAGACTGGTAGGAGGGGCAGAGTCGGGAAGCCGGGGCAGAGAGGACTCCTGGAGAGGTGGCAGCTGGTGACAGCCAGGCAGCAGATTGTGGATCAGGATGCACAAGGCTGCAGCTGACCAGCAAGGCAGTGGCTGGTGGACCAGGTGGTCCCACACTCATGCTCAGATAAACCAGGCAAAACAAAGGGCGAGTGGGACACATCACACAACCTAAGGTCCCAGCTCAGGGAAATAAAGCCTCAGACCACTGATTGAAAACACCTGTGGGGAGACCCTTAGGACCCTAGAACATGCACAAACCCACCCACACAGGAATCAGCACCAGAAGGACCCAATTTACTTGTGGGAAGTGGGGAAAGTAACTGAAATCTGGCAGAGAGCACAGCAAGCACCATTGTTCCCTCTCGGACCACACCCCCACATACAGTGTCACAATCCAGCTGTGGGTTACCCCGCCCTGGTGAACATCTAAGGCTCCGCCCCTCACTAAAGGGCATGTCAAGACAAAAAAAAGTTCCAAATGAAAGAACAGATCAAAGATCCAGAAAAAAATACAACTAAGCAACAAAGAGGTAGCCAACCTATCAGATGCACAGTTCAAAACACTGGTAATCAGGATGCTCACAGAATTGGTTGAATTTGGTCACAAATTACATGAAAAAATGAAGGCTACACTAAGTGAGATAAGTGAAAAGGTACAGGGAATCAATAGTGATGGGAAGGAAACTGGGACTCAAATCAACAGTGTGGACCAGAAGGAAGAAAGAAACAACCAAACAGAAAAGAATGAAGAAACAAAAATTCAAAAAATTGGAACTTCCAATTTTTTAGGAACCTCCAGGACATCTCTAAACATTCCAACACCCAAATTATAGGGGTACCAGAAGGGGAAGAGGAAGAACAACAAGTGGAAAACTTATTTGAACAAATAATAGAAGAGAACTTCCTCAATCTGGCAAAGAAAATAGACTTCCAGGAAGTCTAGGAAGCTCAGGGAGTCCCAAAGAAGTTGGACCCAAGCAGGAACACACCAAGGCAATCATAATTACACTATCCAAGATAAATATGAAGCAGAGAATCCTAGAAGCAGCAAAAGAAAAGGAGTTTCCATCAGACTGTCAGCTGGTTTCTCAAAAGAGACCTTACTGGCAAAATGGGGCTGGAAAAAAAATATTCCAAGTTGTGAAAGGCAAGGACCTACATCCAAGATGGGTCTATCCAGCAAAGCTTTTATTTAGAATGGAAGGGCAGATAAAGTATTTCCCACATAAGGTCAAGCTCAAGGAGTTCATCATCACCAAGCCCTTATTATATGAAATATTAAAGGGACTTATCTAAGAAAAAGAAGATAAAAAACATGCACAGTAAAATGACAGCAAACTCACAATTATTAACTACCACACCTAAAACAAAAACAAAAACAAACTAAGCAAACAACTAGAACAGGAATAGAACCACAGGAATGGAGATCACATGGAAGGTTATCAACAGGGGAGTGGGAGGAGGAGAGAGGGGGAAAAGGTACAGAGAATAAGTACCATAGATGGTAGGTAGAAAATAGGGGGAGGGTAGGAATAGTATGGGAAATGTAGAAGCCAAAGAACTTATATGTATGACACATGGACATAAACTAAAGGGGAAATGTGAGTGGAAGGGGTGTACAGTGGGGAGAGGAGTGAAGGGGAATAATGGGACAACTGTAATGGTATAATCAATAAAATATTTTTTAAAGAAAGAATCAGTTCTGTAAATTCTAGGGAAGCATTCCAGACACACAAAAAAGGAAAAACAGAAAAACATAGCAGCAAGGTAGGTGGGAGTGGAGCCCACTTCTCCTTGTGCCCAGCTGGAACACCTAGCCAATCTTCTGAGGATCAGAGTGAA